TCCAGACACCTGGCTTTCTCAGGTGGCCCCTCTTATTTAGAAACTCTGAGAAGGGAACACAACCTGGATGGGCTCCTCCACCCTCACAGTCTAGGGACAAACTGCAGACTGAGAACACATCTGTGGTCCCATGGCACCCTGTCCAGTGCTGCCTGACCTACAGAACCCCCATCTTCCTTTGCAGCACCTACCTACCTATTCTCATGGCCCAGGCCCTGGGCAAACCTGCAGATTCATCTGACTGAACATTCAACTGACCCTCCCTGACCCAGGGCTGGAGGAAGAACAACAGAGGCTCCAGGTACAGGACACCCTCCTTTGACAGCCTCCCCTTCTACCAGGCCTGTCCACCCTTCTCTTGAGGAAGGCAATCAAAAGAACATGACCATGAAACTGACCCTCAAGCTGGACCCAGAAATCTAAGCTTCTCCTCCTCCTCCCCTGGAATCTGTGCGTTCCCAGAAGCCACTGCAAGGATACAGCTTTGCAAATGTGTTGTATGGGAGGTGTTGCTTTGACTACCCGGGTTGCAGACATGACTGAATATAGCTAATCCTCAGGGTTTTGGTTGGGGGCACTGAACGCTGTTAGGTCTCGGGACCTGACCTGCACAAGAGAAAGCCTCAAGCAAGTTTCCTTGTTTTTTGTTTTTAAAGATTTATTTATGTATACAAGAGGTGGGGTACAGGCCAGAGGTGTGGGGGGTGAGAAGATTCACCAGAGACAGAGTGGGGAACAGAACAGGCAGACTAACTGAAATACACTGCTGACAGGAGCAGTGGGCGAGACAGGAGAGGTCTGCTGCGCCATGTGGGTTGCTCTCTGGCTGGCCGGTAATTGAACTCGTGCTACAGTGGCTGCGGACAGCTTCATAAGTTGTGTCTTAACCCCTTGCACCACCAAGGAGGCCAGCAAGTTTCCTTGTTCACTGAAATTGCCGATCTGGAGTGACCTGGCTTGTTCTTTGGTCTCTACCTGGGAAGTCACTTGGTCTTTGCCCAACATCTTCCTCCCATCTCCCCTACGCAGGAGTTGCCCCTGCCACCCACCAAGGGGGAGCGGGGGTACAAACATGAATAGTTGTATCCTCTTTCTGCCCCAGACACTCAAGCATCTTCAAACCTCCACATTCCCTTCCCTCTCAAGCTGGCTGACCTCCCATAGCACCCCCATACCTCCACCCCCAGGAAAGAATAAATTTCAAACTGACTTCTAATGCTCCACAAACTGCCTAGCCCTTATCTCCCAAGGAGTCTTCACAGGTGCTACCCCCAAACAGGCAGAAACTGCCTTTGTCCTTGTTCTCAACTCCAGCCCCTACAAACACATCTGGCACCTTTTCCTTGGCTAAAGGGTCTGTCTCTCCGGGAGACTACAGCCCACCCATGTGTCCTGTCCTCCACTCCAGTGGAAGGTCCAGTCTGAAGTCAGCACTGACTTCACCAAGTTCATGAACATGCCCAGTGCTTTCAATTTCTAAGTATCCACAGTACTATCTAAGTAGCACTAGTTCACCTTCACCCTGGCCTATAAATTCTCCCTGCCCTCCCTAGCTCCACTGCGCTGACCTAGGACCTCAAGATCAGAGGTTAGGTGAAGTGTCCATGGTACAGTCTTTGGAGAGGGACACAGAGGCAAGCCCAGATCACCAGCAGGGCAATTCTACAGGTCAAAATCCCCACAGCTGTGGAAAGGGAAGTTCCAAGCTAAACAACTCCACCTTGTGCCGAAACTTTTACTGAACTTAAAAAAAATAAAAACTACTGACTGGCAAGAATGGGTTCCAGCTAGACGGTGGCCTTGCCCGTAAACTATGCAAAGATATCTATTTTTTCTTTTTCTTCTCCTTCTGCTAACCTAGGCCATCTTGACTAAAAGCTAATGAACTGTAAGAAATATAATCTATAATCAATCCTAGTTTTTGCAATTCGATCAATTCCTCCCTTCCCCATCTCTTTTCCTTTAAAACCCCCTTACACAAAGACCCCAGGTAGGGATGGACTGATCCTTGAGTTTGTGCTCCCCAATCTGTAAATCAATGACAATCCCCCCTCCATATAAATGCTATTATTTTAGCCCCTTTGTGCATTTCTAGGTGTCTAGGGCAAGCCTCTGCTCATTCAATCACAGTTTGTTGGCCTCATGCTAACAACTCAGGATTACCGCGCTGGGAAACCTGCCTCGCATCCTTTTCTCCTACAGCCACACTGACAGTCCAGTTTTCCGTCCCTTACCCCTACCCACAACCCTCACGCCTCATCTCTCAGGAGTTGGGCTGGGGTCTTGGAATGACCACTGGGGAGCTCTCAACCAGCGGGGCCAGGACGCTGAAGGCCGGGAACTTCAGTGCCCCAACAGGCGACTGGAGCGGAGCGCTGCAAGCCAGCTGCGGTGCGAAACCCGTGAGGGGTTCATCCCCGCAACGCCCCAGCCCGGGCCCATCTCCCAACGTCCAAGTGTCTGACTTTGGCGCCACCTAGCGGCCGCCTCCTGCCAGCGAGGACTGTACCCGGCGCGGGTCCCGGGGCTGCGGGGCCGGTGTCCACCGGGCGGGTGAACCGAGGGCACCCGGCTGGAGGAGCCGGGACTGCGCGGCCCGAGCGGGTACGTGTCTGGGCTGCGGCGCACCCAAGCCTGCGAGACGCCCGAGACCGTTGCCCCGGCCTCCTCGCGGTGGCGCACACGCTCCAGGGTCGCCGCGGGGCGCTCGGCGCCCGAGGGAACGTGCGCGCGCGCGCCCGCCCCACGCAGCGCCCCGCACCACCGCAGGCGCGCGCGCGCACGTACGCCTCCGCGCGCGCCCGCGCCAGCCTGTGCCCCGCGCGGCGGCCGCGGGCTCCGGAGCGGGCCGGCCCGCGAGAGGGCCCTTTCGCGCGGCGCGTGGTTGCGCCGCCGCACGCTTCTGCCTCTGTCCCCTCGTGCGTAGGGACGTCGCCGTCGCCGCCGCCGCCCCGCTCCCAAGGGGGACCCCCTGAAGGGCGGGACCCGCGGGTCGGAGTGACCCAGGCCCCTCGGAGCAGGCTGGGGGCTCCCGGGCCAGGCCGCTCCCACCTGCCGGCCACCGCGGCCAATGAGAGCCTGGGCCGGTGATGTCATGCCCCGGCCGGACCCTGGTGACGAAAGTCCGAGGTCACTCGTCAGGGAACGAGCGCGAACCCACCCGCGGGGGTTCCGGAAGTTTCCACCGCGGCGGCGGGGAGCGGCCTCGCCCCGCAGCCTCGCGCGTGCCGCCCCGGCGGCCTTCCCGCCCGGTGTCCCCGGGCCCCCCCCGCCGTGAGCCCTGGTGGCCGCTCTGACCGCACGCGCCGCTCTAATTCCCACAGGTGCGCCCTCCGCCCCGGCCTCCCGCGCCGCCCTCTCTCCGCCCGGCCAGCCCGACCCCGGGGGCCCAGCCGCACTTTCCAGCAGGTGCTCCCGCCACCCCCGCTGCGCTGCGGCCCGGGAAGCTCATTTTTTCCAGCTCGGGGGCAACTCCCCGGCCGCGAGCGAGGCTGTCGGCGTGTCCAGCGTCGTCCGTCTGTGACTGTCGGTCGCTGCGTCTGTCTGGCTGTCACAATGTGACACCGGCCGCCTGTCTCTCCGCGCGCTTGGCTGTCACCGCGGCTGTGCGATGCGCCGCTGCGGGTCTTTGGCTCATGTCTGTCACTGCGCGTCTGTCGGTCTGTCGGCGTCTGTCGCTGGAGTCTGTCTGGCCCCGGAGGTCTTGGGTCCTGACTGGAAGGGAGGGGCAGGGAGGGAGGTGCAGGGAGGGGAGGCGGGAGGGGCGGGGGCGGAGACAGTGGGCGGGGGCGGGGGCGGGCGGGGGCGCCGAGCTGCCCGGAGGGGGTGTGTGCGGGGGGCCGGAGGCGGCGGCTGTCAGAGTCGGCTCAGCCAGCGCCGGGGAACATCGGCCGCCTCCAGCTCCCGGCGCGCCCCGGCCCGGCCCCGCTTGGCCGCCTCAGGTGAGTCCCCCGCCCCGCCCGGGTCCCTCCCCCGCCCCGCGGCCCCCTCGGGGTCCGGGAGACCGTGCACTCCCCGGGGGATCCAAGCCCCCCAAGTGGGACCCCAGCGAGCCCCTGGGCCTGCCCAGCGACGCCCCCCGCCGCCCCACACTCATCCTTAACTCTTGCCTGGCCGCGGCGTACTTACCCTCGCCGCGCGGGAGCCGGCGCCCCGCAGACCGGCCGCCGCCTCTGCGCTCGAATTCAAGTGGGAACCCTGAGCGCCCCTTCCCCCCTTCGCCCCCAAGTGTGGGGCCACTGGAAGGTGCCCCCTGCCTGAGGAGGGACCCGAGCTGCGTAGATTCTGGGCATTGGGCTGGGCCTCCCTGGATCCGCGACCCCAGCGCCCCTGAAGAGTCCCGGACCGAAGCCCCCCACCCCCGCCCCTCCGAGGCCCAGGCGTCCCCCTCCCGCGGGGACTCCGTCTCTATTTTTTGGGAAGGGGAGGCTCAGCGGAAGCCCCGAGTTATAATTAGCCCCACTCGAGTTTCCTAGTTAATCTCCAGCACCACCACCACCGCCCCAGCTCAGATCGGCGGGAGCTGGGTGTGGGGTGACCCCCGGGAGAGGGGGGAGTTCCGACCCGGGGAATTTTGATCCCTTGGCTGGAGATGCCGGAACCGCAGCAGCTGCTGCCCCAAAATAGCGCCCCCGACCTTGCCGCCCGGGAGCTTCGAAGCTCGGGAGTCAGGCGCCGGGGCTCACCGTTCAGGCCCTCTGCAATGCCAGCGAGCCCCCAGACCCCCGCCCCAAGTTCCCCGCTCCTGCCCTCGGGGCGGGGAGCGCCGTCCTTTTCTCGGTCTCTACTGCCCTCCGCTGGCGGCAGCGTGCACCGCAGCGTCGGGCAGATGGGGGACTTGAGTCCTGGGGGGCTAAAGCTGGCGAGCCTGTTGGCTGAGGCTTGGGGAGAGGGGTGCGCAACTGACGGACACCTGCGGGTACCCACGGGCTGTACCACACTGAGGAGGAGGGACTGGGTGGGGCAGGGGCTGAGTAGGCAAGATTTGGGGTACCCTGGGGCTTATGGCTCCCATGTTCCAAATGCCCCCAACCTACCCCCTAGGGCCCTGGCCCTGGCCCCGCAGGAGAGGCTGCGCCTTGGTACCACCACAAGTTCCCCCATCAGCACCTCCCATCAGAGAGGGCCCCGCCCCTGCCGGGCTGACTGCGGCCTCTGGTGACTGTGCCCAACCCAGCCCATCCTGCCAGGGAAAGGAGGTGAGGGCGGTGGGCCCTTAGCTGGGCAGGGGAGGGTATTGCTTGCCAGGTCTCATTTCTGTTCCACACATGTGTGTGTGTGTGTGTGTGTGTGTGTGTGCACGCACTTGATCTCTGTCTCCTTTTGCTTCTCCCTGTCTGTCTGTGTCCTATCTCTCTGCCTGTCTTCCTCCCTCCATTTCTCTCCCCTCTGCCAACCTGCCCCACCTCCTCTGCAGCTCAGTGATAACCCCTGGGCAAGAGTGTTACCTAATCTTCCTCTGGTTGCCTCTAGCCTTCACCCCCACCTTTCTTTCTCCCAGCAGACGCCCGCCTGCCCTGGCAGCCATGAGGCCCCCGTGGTGTCCCCTGCACGAGCCCTCCCTCACTACCCCATTCCTCCTCCTCCTCTTCCTCTTCATGGGAGGAGGGGCAGGGGCTGAGGGCTGGGAGGACCCAGGGCTTCTGGTGACAGTGCGAGGGGGCCACCTGCGGGGCATCCGCCTAATGGCCCCTGGGGGCCCTGTCTCTGCTTTTCTGGGCATCCCCTTTGCGGAGCCACCTGTGGGCCCCCGTCGATTTCTGCCGCCGGAACCCAAGCGGCCTTGGTCAGGGGTGCTGAATGTCACAGCCTTCCAAAGTGTCTGCTACCAATACGTGGACACCTTGTACCCTGGCTTTGAGGGCAGCGAGATGTGGAACCCCAACCGTGAGCTGAGTGAGGACTGCCTCTACCTCAACGTGTGGACACCATACCCCCGGCCTGCATCCCCCGCCCCTGTCCTCGTCTGGATCTATGGGGGTGGCTTCTACAGTGGGGCCTCCTCCCTGGACGTGTATGATGGCCGCTTCCTGGCCCAGGCCGAGGGGACTGTGCTGGTGTCCATGAACTACCGGGTGGGAGCTTTTGGCTTCTTGGCCCTGCCGGGGAGCAGAGAAGCGCCAGGCAACGTGGGTCTATTGGATCAGAGGCTGGCACTGCAGTGGGTGCAGGAGAATGTGGAAGCCTTTGGGGGGGACCCAATGTCAGTGACATTGTTTGGGGAAAGCGCAGGTGGTGCATCCGTGGGCATGCACCTGCTATCCCCACCCAGCCGGGGCCTGTTCCATAGGGCTGTGCTGCAGAGCGGTGCACCCAATGGGCCCTGGGCCACGGTGGGTGTGGGAGAGGCCCGCCGCAGGGCCACCATGCTGGCCCGCTTCGTGGGCTGCGCCCCAGGTGGAGCTGCTGGCAATGACACAGAGCTGGTAGCCTGCCTGCGGACACGGCCAGCTCAGGACCTGGTAGACCACGAGTGGCACGTGCTGCCACAGGAAAGCGTCTTCCGCTTCTCCTTTGTGCCTGTGGTGGATGGAGACTTCCTCAGTGACACGCCCGAGGCCCTCATGGATGCTGGAGACTTCCACGGCCTGCAGGTGACTAGTGGCTGGAAGGGGTGGAGCTGGTTCCTCTAGGCCTATTCTCCCAATGGCCCCTGCCCCTGGGAACCCAGGCATGAGGGCACCTCAACATCCAATCCCTAAGGCCCAGGCTTCTGAGTGGTCTGCCACCCCCTCCTCCCTGAAGGCTCAGTTCCCTGGGTGGTCAGTGGGACAAAGTGTAAGAAATATGGGTATATTTTCTCTTTCTCTCCATCCCTTCCCCTATCTAGTACTTTCTTCCTTCATGGTTTTGGGTCTATAACTGTTCATCTCTCTGGCTCTTTGTCCATCTGTTTCTGTCTGCCTGTCTGTCTGTGTCCCCACCCCCACCCCTCCACCCTGTCCCCCCAGGTGCTGGTGGGTGTGGTGAAGGATGAGGGCTCCTATTTTCTGGTTTACGGGGCCCCAGGCTTCAGCAAAGACAACGAGTCTCTCATCAGCCGGGCCCAGTTCCTGGCCGGGGTGCGGGTCGGGGTCCCTCAGGCAAGTGACCTGGCTGCCGAGGCTGTGGTCCTGCATTACACAGACTGGCTGCACCCTGAGGACCCAGAGCTCCTGAGGGATGCCATGAGTGATGTGGTGGGCGACCACAACGTCGTGTGCCCCGTGGCCCAGCTGGCTGGGCGACTGGCTGCCCAGGGTGCTCAGGTCTATGCCTACATCTTTGAACACCGTGCGTCCACGCTCCCCTGGCCCCTCTGGATGGGGGTGCCCCACGGCTACGAGATTGAGTTCGTCTTTGGGCTCCCCCTGGAACCCTCGCTAAACTACACCGTCGAAGAGAAATCGTTTGCCCAGCGGCTGATGAGATACTGGGCCAACTTCGCCCGCAAAGGGTCAGCAGTGCTGAGGGGAGGAGGGCCTCAGGGAGCCAGGGAGGCAAGGGGGAGGGGGGCAGCCACTGAAAAGGCCAGAGAGAGGGGGGAAGGACACAGAGGAGGGAGACAAAGGGGAAGCGAGAACAGGACAGAGGAGACCCAGAGGTGAAGGAAGGCTGGGTAGCAAGGCCGGAAGAGGACAGGGGTAGAGGGAGCTGAAGAGGGGAGACAGGACAGTTTGCAGAGGAATTAGCATGAAATGGAGAACTGGATTCTATCTGGCCCGTGATTTATCCGCCACCCCTGGGCACACACGCCAGTTGCCTGTCTGAGGAGGGGGACAATAAGCCCAACATCACATCAAAATTCAACTTGTGATGTTTGCAAAGACGGAGCTAGGCCTGGCTATGTATAGGAAGGGATCGATAAAGTGTAGCACTTTTTTAAGTGAGGAAAGACAAAGATGGAGCAGAAAAACCCTAGGAGAGGAGAGTCAGGGAGGGAGGGCAAGAGACAAGGCAGACTCCAGAAGACGGGGCGTGCTGGACAAGGAAGGTGGAAGAGTTGGGGGGAGGGGGCTCTCCTCGGAGCTGTAGAGGCAGCGTCAGGAAGCAGACAGCCTCCTACCGTCCGTCTCCACTCCCCCAGCCCTCTGGGCCGGACGGGCTTGCCTAAGGCTGAGCCTTTCCTTTCGCAGGGACCCCAATTATCCCCCGGACCCCAAAGTCCCGCAGTGGCCACAGTACACAGCGGAAGCGCAGCAATACGTGAGCTTGAACCTACGGCCGCTGGAGGTGCGGCAAGGGTTGCGCACCCAGGCCTGCGCCTTCTGGAACCGTTTCCTACCCAAATTGCTCAGCGCCACCGGTACGCAGGGGCCAGCCAGGGTCTGGGAGGAGGGGAAGAAAAGGGACTCGGAAAGACAAAGAGGGGAGTGGGGGCCGCCTGGGTGTAACCCTCTCTTCTCCCCCCTCCAGCCACGGAGGCTCCCTGCACCTGCTCAGGCCCCGCCCTTGGGGAGGCTGCCCTGAGGGCCAGGCCCGGCCTCCCCCTGCCCCTCCTTCTGCTCCTCCTCCTCCTCCTTTCTCGGCTCCTGCGGCAGTGACCACGGCCTCTTCCCCCTCCGGCCTCAGGGGCCTCTCCTCTAACGAATGGTCGGACGGTGGAGACTGGCCCCACTCAGGGATCTCCAACCCAGCACCTCCGCCCTCTCAGAGACATTCAAACTGGACCGGGAGGGAGGGTGATGAACGACCCGTCTCAGGGACCCACACGCCTGTGTTGCTTAAATGAAAATGAAAAAGCCAGTTTCCTTTTTTTATAAAATTATTCTTTGGAGCCTGAGCCTGGTGTTGGGAGAGGGGAGAAAAGGGGCCCGGGTCTAGATAACACCCTCCCCCATGGGGCTATAACCATCAACCATTTCTGTCTCTTCTCTTTTCCCCACCAACCCTCGATCCTCCCCTTTCGGATCCCTCCGTCCCCTTGTCTTCCGGTCATTTTCTCCCTCCCTCCCCCGTGCCGCCCTCCTTCTCCGGCCCCGCCTCCGCCCTCTCGCTCCTGCCTTCGCATATTCTCCTGATCCTCTTTCCACCCTCCCACGTGGCCTCCTGCATTCTCCCTGTGTCCTCCCCGCACTCGCACCCCCACATGTCCGTTCCCGACCTTCCCCTTGTGCTCCCCCCACCCCACCCACCCCCCCCCCCCCGTCGGGCGCCCTGGCCGCAGACACGCTGGACGAAGCGGAGCGCCAGTGGAAGGCGGAGTTCCACCGCTGGAGCTCCTACATGGTGCACTGGAAGAACCAGTTTGACCATTACAGCAAGCAGGAGCGCTGCTCGGACCTGTGACCCAGGCCGGACCCCATGGCCCCAGCCTTGCCCCCCGCCCGGCCCCTTAGCTGTATATACTATTTAAGGGCTGGGATATAACTCGGAGGAGCCTCAGACTCTGCCCACCCCCCGACTTTGCCCCGGGGCTCCCTGTCCTCTGCATGTCTCGGGCCCAGCCCCCCTCCCCGCGGTGCCTTCGCCCCTCTGGGCTGCCAATAAACTGTTACAGCCACAGGAGTGTGCGCGACTGGGGAGCCGCGGGTTGGGGCAGGAAGCCTCCACCACCCGGGCCGAGCGGACGTGGGGTGGGTGGCTGAGCCCCGCGCTCCTGCTGGCCTCTGAAGCGGGGTGCAGCACGCGGGGAGCCCGCTGCCCCGCCCCGAGGCGGAGCTCGCGCCTGCGCAGTGAGGCCGCCCGCGGCGGGGCCTTGTGGGAGTCCCGCTGGTCGGCCGGTCCCGCGTCCCGCGTCCCGCTGCCCGGAGCCGGGCGGGAGGGTCCCGGCGCTGGCGGACCAGCCCTCCCCGAAGCTCGTCCAAGACTCGGCCCCGGAGTTCCTGGAGTTCGCCCCACGCTGCCGCGAGGGAGTATCTGCCCTGCCGCTCCTGCCGCCACCCTGGAACCGCTGAGGGACGTCCACCTGGGCCTGGCCCCGCCTAGCCGCGGGCCCGCGCGCCTGGCCCTAGTCTCAGGCCACTATCGCTACTACCACTACGGCTGCGACGGCGTGGACGACCGCGGCTGGGGCTGCGGCTACCGCACTCTGCAGACGCTATGCTCATGGCCAGAGGGCCGGTCCGCGGACGTGCCTGGACTAGCTGCCGTGCAGGGGGCCCTGGAGGACATGGGGGACAAGCCTCCCGGGTTTCGGGGCTCCCAGAGCTGGATCGGCTGTGTAGAGGCCTGCCTCTGCCTTGACCACTTCGGAGGTCCCCAGGGGCGTCTGTGCCACGTGCCCCGTGGAACTGGGCTTCAGGGACAACTGGAAAGCCTTTTCGCCCACTTCGCAGGGGGAGGCGGGCCTGTGATGGTTGGAGGGGATGCGGATGCCCAGTCCAAGGCCTTGCTGGGAGTCTGCCTGGGGCCAGGCACAGAAGCCTACGTCCTGGTATTGGACCCTCATTGCTGGGGTGCTCCCAAAAAACCCACTGAAATTCAGGCTGCTGGGTGGGTGGGCTGGAGAGAAGCCAGCACAACCTTCGACTGCAACTCCTTCTACAACTTGTGTTTGACCAGCCGTAACCCCAGAGAGCAGCAGCACACCCAGGACTGAGTGTAAGTTCCCAGAACTGAGACTCTGGCCCCATATATACAAACCTACCCACTTCTCAAAGGTAGAGGCTGTGTACTCTTAGGCCCCCAGCAAGTTTCAGCTGAGCCTGGGGCCTTTGGCATCAATAAAATGGCAAGCTAATCACGACCCCAGCTGATCTTTGGGAGAACTTGGGGAAATATATATACTCAGCCAGGAGTCACTGTGGAAGTGCTTTTATTGGCAGTAGGGCTGAACGTACAAAAAAAAAATTCTCAGCTGGATGGGACAAGGCAGTCATAAGTATAGATGACACCAGGAGTAAGACAAGGAGACACTCAAAAGAAATCCACATCATCTGGAGCATCCAGGTCACGGTATTCCACAATGGCCCGTGGGTCTCCACGAACCAACCTGTGAGATAACAAAAAGGTAAGACAGGATGAGTTGAGAGTCCCTGAAAAAGTCTGAGGAAGGTAAGAAGCTTAACAGCTCAGCTCATTCTCACCTGTTGCGAGGTTTCCCAGGATAACCTCCCTGGCCTCGGAAGGCATCATAGTTCCCTCGGCCAGCACCATAGGGAGCATGAGGGTATGGAGGCCCTCCTGTGGGGACCGCAGGGCGGACAGCACCAGCTATGAAAAAGACTGAGTGTTAAATTGAAAAACTGTGACCTTAACCTAAGTTTTCTTTAGCTAAGTTTTCTTTCTCCCACTCCCCACCAAGTCTTTTCAACTCTCTCCTATACTTACCTCCATAGCCCAAGATGGGGGGCCGGGGCTGACCATAGGGCATCAGGCCCTGGGGAGTCTGGTGTGGGTAGGGGAGTCCTGGGGTCAGGCCTGGGGGGAGTACAACACGGACAGGGATATGAATTACTGCGGGGAGGGGGGGGGGGGAAGGAGGGAGGTGAGGGAGGACACACAGAACCAATGATGAGTAACAGAGGAATATGACCTGAAGTAGGACAGAAACTTTTAGGGAATGACAGGTAAGCCAGGAATCTCGAGTTAAGGGAGAGGAATGTGTGGCAGGCCTTCATAGATCGTATCTTACTCTGGGCAGGGCCAGGTGGCTGAGCTGGCTTGATCTCAGGCAGAGCTGGACGCTTGGCGTCAGTGAGAAAGTTATTAAAAAACGCCACCTCCTTCTTCACTTCCTCAATTTTCTCCGCATGCTTGTTGAAGATATGTTTGCGTACAAACTCAGGGCCCTGGGTAAAAAGAGAAAAGGGTCAAGATACAGCAAGCAGTTTGGGTTCCCTAACTCCCCAGACCCAATATGGAAGGATAATCAACCTCCCCTTCCACCCTCCTCCCCAGGCCTTCAGGATGCTTCCAGGTGTCAACCCTCCCCTCCTCCCACTTCTAACACACCACTCTCTAATCTCAGACCTTGAATTTCTTGCCACTGAGAGGGCAGAGCCACTTATCCTTGCCCAGTTCCTGGGTGTTAGAGGTGACAAACTTTTCCACTTCCTGCTCAGGGTCTTTTCGGCCCATCTTCTGGGCCTCTTCCTCTGAAAGTGATTCTCGCACACTCAGCAGGGGAGTCAGCTTCTCCTCAAATGTCTTCTGCCACTCTAGCACTATGGTTTTGGGAACAGACACATAACAGGTTGAAGGGGGGAGCCAGAAGCAAGGAATAAGCTGCAAGGAGAGGATGAGCGTGGCAGAGCACTGCTACCACAGCACAACTAAGACCAGAGGGTAGCTGGCTAGAAAGGAGGCTAAGCGGAAGCTAGACGTTCACCTTCTCCATGACTGATGCGGTTGGGTGGCATGGGTCCCCGAACATGGATGATGCCACAGCGGTTGGGCATTTCATCTTCATTGGGGTACTCGCATGTATTATAATAATCCAAGGAATGTACAATGCGCAAGTAGAGGAGGAGTTTATCCAAAACCTGAGGGAAATAGGAAGCCATGAGTTTCCCATACTTTTCTTTTTTTTTAAAGATTTATTTTTTATTTATTTATACAAGCACTGGGTACAGTCAGAAGCGCGGGAGGGTGAGAGAATTCACCAGAGCCAGAGCAGGGAGCAGAGCAGGCAGAAGGACCGAAGCACACTGCTGAGGGGAGCAGCGGGCGGCAGGAGAGGTCTGCGCGCCATGTGGGACCCTCCTCCGGTGGCCGGGGAGCAGCCGGGGATCGAACCAGCACTGCAGAGGCTGTAGGCAGCTTCGTAACCCGGCGCTCTACCGCTGCGCCACTGGGGAGGCCCAAGTTTGCCATACTTTTGTCCCTTCACACCCCTAGCCAGATGCACCATGCCCCACTCCCTTCCCACCTTGATCAGCTTCTCATCCCGCTCCACATTGATCTCAGCTGGGTTTCCTTCCTTAGGAGGCTCTTCCGGGGGTGCCCCCCCACTGCTCCCCAGTAGCTCCTCCTCCTCAGCACTCACTTCCTCAATCAGGTAGTCAGTGATATTCTTCAAAATTGGGTTCTGCGAGGGCAGGCTCTGGGAGGAAGATTGGGGAAAGTGAGACCAAAAAAGCCCCTAAGGGCAGGGACCTAAGCGCTTAATTTGAAAAGGTAAGATGAGGTAAAGAGGGGTTTGGGGCACCTCATTATTTGTCTTCATTTCTGTATTTGCCCTACCCTAGCCTACAATTAATAGCAAACACTAATCCACTCTGTTGGAAGTTGGAGGTGCTGCCCAGATTAAATGGGCAAACCACCAGGGTGGGTACAAAAGGGTCAATGCTACAGATTAAGAACAGAGGGCGTGCCCACAATACATGAGGTGGTATCGGCTGCTTTTGAAAAAGTCTCATAGAGAATCACTGACTGTTGGCAGAGGAGGTGTCCCAGGCTCAGAGGCCCAGAGCTGGGTCCTGTCATCCAGAGTATGAATCAGCTTAGCCGCCAGTTTGATATCATTGCGCACTATCTGCTTGTGCTGGGTAATGCCGTTGATGTTGCGGACACGACGGGTCAGGTCGCGATTCACGCCAGGGCTCAGCTCACATTCCCGGAGCTGGAGGGAAAAGAAAGCTTACCAACCTTGCCCAAGAAGCAGAACTCAAAGGGTGGCCCCCTAGAGTGCACCAATAATTAAACTGAGCTCTGAGGACAGGGAACAGATGTGCCCCAAGACAACAGCACAAGGCCCACGTGTTCAGACTAGATGGGGGAGACGGCGAGCGGAACGAATGAAGCAGTGAACAAAGGAATCAGTGGTTGTGGGGAGCGTGGAGAATCCCACTTTCTCTTCCTCAAAATCCTATTCCCCACACTCACTCGGATATTCTGCAGATTCCAACAGATCTCTTTGATGTTCACGCTGCGGTCAAAGGTCACCCAGCCACGACGGAAAAATCTAAACAAGAAAATGTCAGCATCATCCTGGGGCAGAGGTGATGCTGGCCGTTGGCCTTCCCCTGCACCAGAGTATCACTCCTTACCTCCTCTCCGGTTGGGGCTCTGACAGTGCCACACGCATAAAGCCTGGATATCTTTTACAAAGCTGGAAAAACAGAAATCCCATAGTAACGCAAGGGTTCATTTCTTCCTCTCATCCCCATGTCCTCAGAACCCTGGGCAATGGCCCGTTAACTCTACTTGGTAAGAAAAAAATAAGAAAGGGCTCAGGTATCCCATCCCATGAAAGCAAATGTTACAATCCTGGGAAAGGGCCTCTCTCCCTATGAGAACACTGGGGTTAGATGTCAAAAGCTGTGCCAACTGTCTGCTCATCTCACCTCCCCCACCCCAAAGGAACAGCCAGGCTATCATCCCTTCCCCAGATACCATGTTCCTTCACTAACAGATATGATCTCAGCCCGGGAGATATTGGGGGCGATGTTGCGCATGAAGAGAGAGCAGGTCTTGTGCAGGGGCCGAGGTTTACATTCCAGCCCAGGAGTGTCCTTTGGTTTTTCCCTTTCTTCTTCCTTGGGCTTCTCCTTTTCCTTAGGTGCTTCTTCTGTGCAGGAAGTGGTAGGTGTTGGTGAAATTTTATTGTTGGTTTCGGAGGGGAGGGTGAGCTGTCAATCTCCCTTCAGTCTCACCCCAAAAGACCACCCCTTACATCAATTTCAGTAACCTCTCTCCTCCCCACCCCACCCCATGATCAGTAAAAGGAGAGTAAGCCAAAAGCAGGAAATAAAACCTACCGGTCTCCTCTTTCTCCTCAGCTTGGCCAGACTCAGACTCGGACTCAGACTCAGATACACTGCCCTCATCAAAGCTGTCATCTCCACTATGCTTCCTATTCCGCTTCTTGCTCTGTGAGAGCCACAAGAGAGGTGAGTCAGACCACCAAAACCTCAGCCCTGACATGGACGCCATGCAAGAGGGGCCTACCTTCTTAGCTTCTTTCTCAGAGTCTTCTTTCTTCTCTTCCTTGTCCCCTTCACCCTCAGATTTCTTAGTCTTGTCATCACCTGGGCTGTCATTTTCAGCCTACAGAGAGACAACCACTGGGGGTGTCAATCTCCCCTTCAGATTTTTAAGAGGATCTCTACCACCCCCCACAGCTGGGTCCAGAATCCACCCCAACACAACACTCCCCTTGCGCCAGCCCCACCAGTTTCAGCTCCTTAGGATCCCACCACCACCAGCGCATCCTTCTCCTACCCAGGCCCAACACCAGAGGCCCTAGCACTCAGACCTGTTTGCCTTCTTCTTTCTTGTCATCCTTATCATTGGCTTTGCGCTCTCCATCCCCCAGGCCCGGTCCAGTCCGAACTTCCTCTTTCTTATTGGGCTCCCCCGGCTTGCCTGCCTGTTCCTCCTCCTCCTCTTGCTCTAGGATGCGTAGATCATTTTCTGTACCTCCTTCCATCTTAATCACAGCTACCAAAAAGGGACCAGAGGTCACAATCCAAGGGCTCTGGCCTTCAGCCTCTGGCTTTCTGTCAACCTACGTCCATTACCCAGCCAAGACCTTGGTCACAAGACATCCCCAACTCTATCAATTCACAAACCTGCATCCAACATCTTAACAATGGCATCAGCTTTATCTATATCCAGGAGAAGATTATCAAACCAGCCACTCTCCATGAGGGACAGAAATACCCTCAGTCGATTTTGTAGGGCCCCCCGGGCCTCTTGCCGTCGCTTCCCCACCTCATCTGGGTGGTACTTAGACCGAAACCTGGGAAGGAAGTAAGAAGGGAAAAGACGTGACAATCACTGGAGGCCAGGGCCTGGACACGGGGTGGGGCCCAGGAAAGTCAGGGCATTGCCCCCATCCTCTCACACCCACAAAGATCATAAAAACAGCAAGATTAGGAGAGGGGTACACTACAGCCACCCAATACCCCCAAAACCAGAGGTTCTGCTCTGAGAAGATCTGGGGGCGAGTCAAGAACTAAGAGCTCTAGACTGGGGAAGAACAATGGACTACAGGGCTGGTCAGGGTTAGAAAGGCAGATTTACTGCCTACGTCTCCAAGAACACTAACTTTAAAAAGTGCAGTTTCCCAGAGCCTCCGAGAGGAAGCCTAAAGAAATAGTAGGTCCCACATCTCCTCCTCCTTGCCAACCCCAAACTACAGTACAGTCATTAAAAGGACTGTTCCCAACCCCTCCAGCCCTAGGTAATAGAGGGACACCTGAAATGTACCAGATAGGAAAAGCCAAACAAGGCAGGATAACTTTCTCCCCCCTTGGGAAGATAAGCAGATGGTGAAGGGACAGGGAGAAACCAAGGGGAGAAACTGAAGTGCCCTTAAAACCTCAGGTACTGCCCACAGGAGAGTGAGAGGGGATGGGGAGGACAAGTAGGGAGGAGCATGAAAAAGAAAACATTTAAAATAGGACCTCGAGGGGAAACAGAAGAAATCAGGAGTATGAGAAAAAGGAGAGAGGGCAAGTGTGAGAAAGTCCCAGAAATAGAAAGCAGAGAGAAAACTATAGAACAGACAGGGAAACTGAAAAAACAGGCAAGAAATGTTAGGCAGGGAGCAAGAACAGGAGAGAGAAAGAATGTAAAGAACATGAGCAACTGAGACAGACACAGAGACAGAAGAGAGAACAGTGAAAGAACAGAACTACAAGTTGAGCATAAGAGGAAACGAAAGCCGCAGGCATCACCTCCAGGATCTTTACCTTGGCCGCTTGGTCAAACAGAGCTCAAGATTTAACTAGCCGCGCCCAGGGCCCATGCTGGCTGGTGGGCCACCGGCTGGCTCCTGGCTGGGGCGCCCGGCCCGGATGCCCCACCCCCGCGGGACTCCGCGGTGGGGGCCCTGACTGACTAACTGCCTGAGCAATCACATTCAGCTAAACCACTGCATTGTGCACAGCGGTGCCCTGCCTGTCTGCCTGGCCGGGGCAGCGCGGCTCAGCCCAGGGGGCTCATGTATGGGCTGGGTATGGTGGGGGTGGAGGTGGGTTTGCTCCGAGCTCCGTCGATGAGCGGGTGTAGTTCCCAGTTCTGGCTCTTTTCAAGGAGGAGGAGCAGAAAGAGGATGAGGAGGAGGAGGAGCAGGAAGGGGGGAAAAGATGGTTGATTAAAATTAAAACATCCACAAAAAAGAAAAAAATTAAAACTCTTTTTCTGTCAAACGACCCTCAGATCTTTGCTTTTCTTGTCTGGATTCACTCGTTGCTTTTGGGAGGACGCCACAGCCACACAGGGTCCGGCGATCAGGGATGACAGTGACCCAATACCAGCAAGTGGGAAGCAGTCTGTTTGCTGCCCCAAGGGAACAGGTGGCTCTGGCCAGCTGCCTGGAGGTGTCCCACTCACTGAGGACAGTGGGGTGGGAGATGGGGTGGGGGCTATGGCAGATGTTGAAGTGAGGAGAACCCATCAGCCAATGCTGGTGTATGTCCCATCCCCCACCCCCAGGAAGTTCTGTATTGGGGAAAATGGGAAGAGGACAAGTCTGCAGGTTCCACTGGCGGGGCCAGGGGAAGCATGCCAGGGAAAAAGAGAGCAGGAAAGTAGGGGTAACTCACCACTCCTCATCTTTATGAGCCAGGAAGAAATCCTGCATCTGTTGTCTTCGAAAATCCAGCTTATAGTCATTATAGCGCTTAACTGCCTCAGTCTCATCAACAGAGTCATCCAATGACAAGAGAAACTCCTTGAACGTCTTCATCACAGGTGGTGGTACACCCAAATCAATCTCTGCGATGCTGCCCAGCCTGAAGGGGGCCCGGTCAGGAAGTCTTGGTTGTGGGGGAAGAGGGTGGGGGGGGCAAGGTAGCCAACTGCCCCCTTTCTTTGCCCACCATGGACATTGCCCCAGGCACAAACTGCTCCCACCCCCAGAGGCACAATTCTGTGCCTAACCAACTTCCTAGCTCCAGTGATAGGCTTCAGCACCCCAATCTACCCCCCAAGCTGGCCAATGCCCTTCCCCCAAGAACTCTAGAACCCCAGGTCTTTACCTGGCCTGGATAGGCAGAACATGGTGCTGCATGATGTGGACGTCTGGGTGGCCCCAGGGCTGAGGGGGGCCATAAGTTGGGCCCCCACCCCCCCCAGCATAGGGCATCTCATAGCCACTGTGGTATGGGTCAGAGCTGTGCTCATCCCTGAGGGTAGGGGACACAAAAGTCAGACAAAGAAGGGAATCATCTCTCTTGTGCACAAAGGTGGATGGGACAGAGAAGGGAGCATATTATGGAATACAGTCTCTCACCCAAGGATTTAAATGAAACAAAAAAGGTGATCTATGGAAAGTTTGAGAAAAGGACATGACAAAAGTCTTCAGCAGAAGTAAGGGAAAAGAGCTGAGGCACAGGTGGAAATGAGGCTCAGAAGAGAAGACAGAAATGTGGCATCTCACCAGTCTCGCCTCATGCGCTTCTGTGGGGGGCTAAGCTCATGGCGGGGAGGAGAGAAGCGCTCTCGCCGATTCCGGTCATAGTCGCGATATTCACCCCGACTGCGGCGCTCCCGGCCACGGTCCCACTCTCTGGAGGTAAGAATAAGTATGTAAGATACAGTGAGACATCCTAAAGTCACACATCTGATTCCCTTCCTAGCCCGAGACATCAGATTAAAAGCTATTATAAAATTACATTCTAAAGTAAAAGACTCTTATCTACTTCTACTACTTTGGCCATTACCCACAAATTGATGGCTTTCCTACTCTTCCTCTGGCTTGGTCTTTTTCCTGAGGACCAGACCACTATCAATATCCCCTCCACCCCCCGCCCCACCATCACTTCAAACTAACATGTTAAAATTGAGTCCGTTATTTCCACCACTATGAACCCAAACTTGCTTTCCTCCTCTTGTTTTCTTCTCTCTAGTGCCATATATCCAATCATTAGGTATCACCCTCACCAAAGTTGTCCTCTCCTTGCCATTTCTCTAAACTCTGCTTTAACCCTGCATCTGTTTCCTGTAACTGCAGCACTAGTTTTATTTTCCTGCCCCGGTCTTTCCTCCTAATCTATGCTACTGTCAAAATGATCTTTCTCATACCTCAGATCTCATGGTGCCATGCCCTTACTTAACAACCAGTAAGGGCCTCCCTGGTGGCCTAGGGGTTGCGCCCTGTCACTGCTACGGCCTGAGTTCCATCCCAGCCAGGTAGCTGACCCACATGGCACAGCAGACCTCTCCTGTCTTGCCCGTTGCTCCCCTCAGCAGTGTATTTCATCAGTCAATCCACCTGTTCTGCGCCACACTCTGTCTCTGGTGAATCCTCCTACCCCTGTACCGCTGGCCTACACCCCAGTTCTAGGCAAAAAAAAAAAAGCCAGTAAAGTACACTGCTCAAAACTGTGGTTCCTGGCTGTCATCCCAGCTTCTCCACCAGTCACAGCCTCCCCTATTCCCATCTGAACAAAACAAAAAGGAAAACCCTTTGCTGTAATCCATTTTCAAACATTTTGGTCTTGGGATTCCCTTATCCTCCTAGAATGACTAAAGATTAAAGAGTTTTTGCTTATGTGGGTTATATCTTTCTACATTTAATGTATTCAAAGTCAGAAAAAAAATCTATTAACTTTCAAGTTAGACATTAACATATATTACATGTTTACAAAAATCACCATTTTCTCAATAAATTTTAGTGAGATAAGTTCCTTTGCTTTTAAACTTATAACTCCTCCCAAGATCTGGCTTAACAGAGACAGCTGGATGATTCTTCTATTTGCTTCTAAATCCAATCTGTTGGGCCTCCCCGGTGGCGCAGCGGTTGAGCGCTGGGTTGCGAAGCTGCCCGTGGCCTCTGCGGCACCGATTCGATCCCCGGCTGCTCCCCGGCCACCAGAGGAGGGTCCCACATGATGCGCAGACCTCTCCTGCCGCCCGCTGCTCCCCTCAGCAGTGTACTTCTGTCCTTCTGCCTGCTCTGCTCCCTACTCTGGCTCTGGTGAATTCTCTCACCCTCCTGTGCTTCTGACTGTACCCAGTGCTTGTATAAACGAACAAACAAATAAATTAATAAATAAATAAATCATGCCTCTATTTAAAAAAAAAAAAAAATTAAAAAAACTAAATCCAATCTGTTGTGGTATGTCATTTGGTTAAAAAATATGAAGGAAATCTGGCCTCATGCTGATTTGTAGTTGGCAAAGAGAATACTTTTTAACAGCCTTTCATATAACTGCAGATAATCTTTGATACTACCCAAAACTTGACAAGAGGTAGTTTTCGTAAAGGCTAGGTGCAATGTTAAATGTGAAATCATGCCAATGGACATTTTATACTCTGGTATCAAAATCCATTCTTCTATACTGATCTTTGAATAGGTCTTGACACATACATCTCAATACACAATAGCAAAGTATCATATTCATTAGTATCATTATCCTGTCCATCAGAAAAGTTGTTAAGTAGGGGAAGCTGTTATGCTCAAGCTAGTAGATAAAAGTTTTCAAAATTTTAGTTTTCACTGGAAAGTCCCACATCATCTGTGGCAACAAAACCGACAATTTTCTTTGAAGTAACATATAACAGTTCTCTTAACTTCTTTTCAAAAAATTATCTGCCAAATACCCAGATATGAATAACCACCATTTGATAGTCATTCAAGAAATAATAGTATTTTGCAACTCAATCCCATAAACGCTTTTCCTTAAGAGCATCAGTGGACTCCCCCAATATGCAGAAATGCTTTATGCACATTTCCCACGTGTATTAAAAAGATTCAACCTAATGAAGAATCAAGAAAAATAAGAATCAAGAATCCAACTTAGTAAAATTTTGTATTTTTACTGCTTCACACCCCATTAAATGAAAATGGGTGCTTTGATTTGTGCTAAGACAGCAGCAATTTTAGCTATAGCACCATTAATGCAAATGTCCATACTGTAAAAACATCTTAAATGTTACTATAAAAATGGTTGTAACCTCACAGACCCACCCCATCCCAAGAGTCTGTGGATCACCTTTTGAGAACCACTACTCTTAAAAATTAAAATTCCTAGGAAAAAAAAATCCCAGAACATGTGCTCTTTTCTACACATACTGTTACATCCCCAACTCAAAGCTTTTACCCTCCACCTGTGTCTGGGAAATTCCTACTCATCTTTCTAAGTTTTGCTAAGTGTCATTTTCCTATAGCTCTCCCTCACACACCTCCTCTACCTCTTCTCCCTCCTTTAGATGTTCTAGTCTTTCAATGATTACCATCTTTACATGACCCTGCATACATATGCATTTGCAGTGCAAACCCAAGGCCCAGACTAGTAACTTAGGGGAAATAACCACAGCTTATCCAGAATTCAGAGAAACACCATTTTCTTCTGACTCTTAGAAAATACCAAGTAAAAGATCATGCCACAGTCTCCACAGTGAAGACAAATCCTAAATGACAGACTGATTTACTGAACTCATTTTTTCCAAACAATGCTGAATGAAAACATGCCATCACAATAAGTCTTATCAAACTTTTTTTCTGGTAATGTTTCCAAATGGAGCCTGTGCTTAAAAAAAAAATAAAAACACCTACTCTGACAATCTCTCTAATCACGTCAAATTTATATTAACTTTCTTGAATCCACCTTTAGGTGGTATAATTTACAAAAATAAAATGCACACATTTTAAATACATATTGTAGGTATTGTGTTTTCATACTGTCAGTTCTAATGGTTTGATCTATGCGACATTTCAAAAATCAAGTCATAGGTAGCTCTTTGGCCAACCACAAGTGGACCCGAATACGCTCAACGGTCCAAGTATAAGCGGCTTCACATGGTTTGTCCAACAAAAATTATAAAGGAAACGCACCGAGGTGGAGTGAAACAGGATGAGACCGAGACAAAACTGGAGAAAAGTAGGGTCCTACCGGTCATTCCAATCGTCCCCTCGGCGTCTTTCATCTCTTTCCCGGGAACGATCATAGTCGCTGCGCTCTCTTCTAAACTTGTCCCTGCGCCTTCGATCATACTCGTCATCACTGTCACCCATGGCGCGGTCTGAGGGGCCTGAGCCCGGACGGGGGTGGTCAGGATGGTGAACAATGACAAGAGAAGGAAAGGATTCCCCCCTCAGCAGCGGCGCGCCCGCCGCCCCGAGCGAAGGCCAGTCCTCGGCCCCCCGCCATCCTCAGCCCTCCTCCCTGGAAGGCGAAAGGCCCCGACACTCCACAAGCCCCGGGGGCCACCCCGCCCACCCCCAACCGGCCCGGCCCCGGCTCCCCGGCCCCTCCCCCACCTGGGAGCGGTCGCGGCCGTTAGTCTCGCGCTCCGGCGGGTTGGTTTTCCTAGAGACGAGGGCCCGCCCCTTGTGTCTGGCGCGCGGCGACGACGGCGAGGAGGGTGAAGAGGAGACACGCGGCTCTCAGCTGGGGGACCGAGGAAACGCGAAGGAAGCGGGACAGCAGAGGATGAGCGCTCGGCGCGCGCCACTCGCGCTGCGCCTGCGCCACCCGTAGAACGGCGCCGCGGACCACAAACCACCCCCGCGCGGCCTGGACTGCAACTCAGGCACCGAGAGAAAGGCGGGGAGGCCCGGGGAATGATGGGAAGGGGCGGGGCCCCTGAAGTCTCGCGCACCTTCTGCGGCGAGAACCACGCGGGCGAGGGGGCTACGGGATCTGGAATGGGCCAAGAGTGGCCTTGGGAGGATCATAGAGATGTGTGGGAAAGAAGGGGTGTTTCCGGGCCGCGAGCGAAGGACGCGCTTCCCTGGGTGTCTGAACCTGTCTCCTCCCCGTCGTGTACCTCGCCACCACACTCAGGGCGCCTCCTGACGTGTTTTTTTCGTGGGGGTGGTGGGGAGGATTCTCCTTTCTCGCGCAGGGCGGAACTTGGGGAATGTGAATGCTTAGCGACTAGAACTTCCATTTTGAAGCATCTCCTCCCACCATTTTGTATCCCTACAAAGAATCAGTCCTTATTGGTGCCTTCGTACGCGATTCCTGCATAACCCATTGTTCCTTCTCTTCTTGGACACAGGCGCCCCACCTTTAAGCAAAACTCGCAAATCTCCTTCTTATCCCCAGCCAGTGATTTGGTAAGTTGTAGGTTGAGGACCCTACCAAAAGGCAGGATTGGACTTGCCCCAGGCTAAATGCATCCCCACCCCAGGGATGTTCAGTTCCTTATTCAGTGCATTGAGTATGCAGACTTAAGAACAGAAAATGCTGCCTCCCTGGAGCATGCTGCAACCTGCGCCCCCATCACTAAAAGAGGAAAGTCTTTACACCAAACTACATTGAAAGTGTGTAGTGGACAAAAACTGGACGAGGACTTAAAATTCTGATCTTGGTTATACCATTTGGAACCCATGCAATCTGGGGAAGTCACTTTGTGGCTAAAAATGCAGACAGTCAACAAGGGTGTGCTGGGCTGCTGTGAGATCAGATGAAACAATAGACTTGAAAGTGTTGGTAAACTCTTGAGGGATTATTATTTCATGATTGGAGGAAAAGAAAACAGCATTTGGTGACAAAATTGTAAAAACAGATGTCAGACAGGGTGGTCAATGACAATGGAGAAGTAGCAGCTGCTCCTAGGAGGACTCAGCAGTCAGTGGTGACAGTGGCTGAGAGCTCCTGGATGCGCCAGGCACTGCAGGCCTTGCACAAGATGTGCCCATCCAGCGGGTAACAGCCCTGACACTCACCCTCAGAGGAGAGCAACAGCCCACATTCCTGTTGGGAAGGAAGCAACAGCTTTCCATCAGACACGGATCCCTGGGTTCCTTTTCCCATGTGCTTTACCATACCCAGCAACCCAAGCCCCAAGAATCCCTTTTCCCCTTGCCCAGGCCTCCTGACCTCACACTTGTAACAGCCAATGTGAAAACTGCGATCCAGAGCAACGATTCTCACAGTTTCCTCCTGGCCTGGCTCAGGCATGATGGCCCCACCACATACTGAGCATCGTGGGGCAAACTTCCTGGGGTGGAAGGGAACCAAGGAGGCTCTCAACCCAAGAGTTGGGTGGAACTAACAGCCAGAGAAGATGGGGTGAAAGAGGGAACAGAAGAGACCAAAAGTATGGTCTTAGACCTCAGGGACAAGAGCAATGTTTCCCAGGGTTGGGGAAACAGAAGCTGTAACTGGGACATGAAGAAGAGGTGAGAGGCCAGATATCCCAAGACAAAAATTGGGGACCCAGCCTGACCTGTGGAAGTCCTCAATGCAGTGGATCTGGCTGGTGGCATCCACTGTGAAGGGGATGCCATCAAGGCCACGATGGCACACCACACAGGTGAAGCAGCCAGGGTGATAGGCCTTCCCCATGGCCCGAAGGATCCTATCCAAGATGGGTTGGGAGCATGTGGAGCACTTCTCCAGGGTGGCCTGGAAAGAGAGCATGAAGGTCAGGGCTGGGGCAGCCCATGGCAGGCCTGCAGGTATTCTGCCTGCCCACCTACCTGTTTCTATAACCCCCTACATGTAACCCATGAAAGGAATCCTCAAACAGATCTGAATACAAATCCTAACCTCTCTGAGCTGCTGTTTCCTGCCTCACAGGGGTATTGTGGGAACTGAACATATTCCCTTAACTGTGAAGTAAATGCCCCACATTTGTAAGGGACTGCTGTCCTTAACCTCCAAAGGGCAAGATTTAGCTACTTCATTCCTCCCTTCTTCCTGTCAGTTGTAGTCCCCAGTTCCGAGCCCTGTTCTTTGGGGCTTGAACATCTAGTTTCTGTCTCGGAGGGAAGCCAGCTGCCTCCTGCTGCTGACCCCCCTCCCCCGCTCCCAAAGTCCCAAATACTTACCACATAGCAGTTCTCACAATATGCCTTCTTCTCCACAGCATAGAAATGCTGGCCCCGCAACTGGGCCCGGCATGTAGAACACACAAAGCAGCCAACGTGAAAGACACGGTCAAGGGCAACAACCCCAGCCCCATCCCCAACCACATCTTCTCCACAGCCACCACACCGGCCTGAGGACATGGAAAAGAAGGGTCAGTGTGCACAGACCAGGAGCTAGATCCCCTGTCCCTCTAATTCTCCAGCCTCCCCACCCCCAGTGCCCATCAGCTCAGCTCACCAAAGTACTCCCCACTGGGTGGGCAGTTCATGTCCTGCACCAGCTTCTTGGTCAGTCTCTCAAGCTCTTCCTCGGGTGGCTGGTTCAAGGGGGCCTGGGAGGTGGGAATCAGTTACTTAGTCCTGCCTCTACCTCCCAATGCTGTCAAAATCCCTGAGAGTGACCAGGCAATTCCACCCAGAAAGCTCATCCAGAAAAAAACTCATACCAGAGGCCAGGGCATGTGTGAGCGGCTGGTATGCCTCCTAACCCCTCAACCCCCCAACCACCACCCAGCACCACCCCCCAGGTCCTGTATCTCCGAACTACCCCACAACCCTGAGGGATCCCCCCATCCCACCCAATCGGTGCCCAGTTGTCTGCAAGGATCCCAAATCCCAGTACCCAGGACTCACCTGGGGCCCATACCCTCCACCTCTTCCTCCTCCTGCAGGGCCAGGGACCCTAGCAGCCTCCTCTTTACTCCCTGGCCCTGACTCACGGTGGTTCCTATAACCAGACCCCCAGATTTCACCTCGGCCCGGGAGAGGGAAATGAGGGCTCAGGAGCGGCCCGGAGGCCTGAGAGGTCCCCCGCCTGGGGGGTCCACAGCCTCTCACTGGCTGTGCCACCTTCACTTGCACAGGGAAGGCAGGGCCGGCGGGGGTGGTGGCTGTAGTATAGGAGGCCGGAGTCGGGCCCCCATAGGGAGACACTGGGAGTGATGGGGGAGGCACACCCCCTCCATTCAGCTTCAGGGAGCCTGAGCCGGTGCTGTAGGCGGGGAGATGAGGGGCCTCATAAGCCTAGAGAGAGATACCAGAAGACATGAGCAGGGCCCATTCCAGGACACACCGGTGGAATCCCCCCCTCCTTATGTGTGGCCCCCAGATTTATTACAAGGTCTTGCCCCCGCCCCCCTGCAGCTGGCAACCTAGTAAACTCTAGTGGCCCTGCTTCTTCCATGGGGGGAAGGGGTGAGTGGTCAAGGGGAGGTGGGGTAGATTGCTCTGAGAATCTAGAGATGGGATCAGACTGGTAGGGAGGAGGAGTGGGCAGGGGACAAGGAGCAGGGAGGGACAGGAGCCTGCCAGGAAGTCTACCTGCCGCTCCGACCGCCTTGGGGCTTGGCCACGACCCCCATCCATCTCAGCCAGCATGCTGGTCAAAGAATCTATCTCAGCATCCAGGCTTCCTGGGCGCAAGGCCCCCCTGTCTGGGGGAAACCCCTGGGAACAGAGGAAAAAAAAGGAGAATGCAAATCACAGGTTCTCCTCTCCTACCCTGGTGTCCCCACACCCTCACCCACCCATCTCACCTGTGAGCGCTGGGGTGCTCCATGGCACCCCATCCAGGCCAGCCCCCGATCCTCTGGTCCCCCCAGGACCGGGTAACACTGCTCAGATGGGAGGGGGCAGAAGTTGGCCCTGGGGTGGGGCTGCAGCGCTGAGGTGAGGGGAGAAACAGTAAAGGTGGGATGGGGAGGGATAGGAGGGTGACATTTGTGGAAGCCGCACTCCTGGGTCACACTATTCTCTTCCCCCCTGCACCTGGGGTCGGAGAATGGGGCTGGACGCGGGGAGGGCAGGTCCCAGGCCAGCCTGGGGGAAGCGGGAGCAAGAAGCAAGATTCGGGGTGGAAGGGAGCCGAGGGGGAGCAGAGGTGAGTGCCGGGCAGCCGGTGGGCCCCTCCGAGCACGGGTCCACCTTACCTGCACCGTGGGCTGGTGGCGGCCCGGGCGCACCTCGGGGGAGCGCTCTCCCGTGAGGAGCTCTGGCGTGCTCCGGCTGCTTCGGAGGGAGCCAGGTGGGTCCCGACATTGCCTGGAACGGGGGGGCTCCAGACAGCAGTCAGGGCCCCAAGGAGCCCCGGGCCTCCGGCCTGGACCACTGCTTCCGTCCCACACTTCTGTTAGGACTCCGGGAAAGAAACTTTTTCTGGCTTTTTTCCTTCTTCCTCCCCAATTTTTGGGACGGCCACGCCCCCGGTGACGTCACCGCATTCCGGGGGGAGGGTCACGTGGCCCCCTAGGCCCTAAACTGCCGTCCCTCCCCTAGTCGGCCCCCTCCAGCCCAGCGGGAATCGCTCCCCGCCCCAACCCCGCGCGCCGGGCTGCGGGCCGCCTGTTGCCGCGTTCCCCTCCCGCCCCGTCGTGGCCACCCCGCGCCGGGATGCTCCGAGCCACTCTCCCACGAACCCCCCAACAAGCAAATCTCTCCCGCTCCCCGTCAGAACTCCCCTGCAGCAGTGCGAGGCCAGCCTGTAGTGTTTTGGTCTTTTATTCACGTTCAGCAGTTAGAAAAATAAAACAAAAATGTCACAACCTCAGAGATTAGCAAGTCTGTTGGGGAAGGGGAGACTGAGGTAGCCTAGTCACAAGCGGAGACCCAGCCCCCTTCAAGGCACCGGTGAAGAGAGGGAGGCCGAGGGGGAGGAAGGTTGCTGACTCCCACACCCCCATATTATTGCACCCAGGGCCCTCTCCCAAGGGCTGACATGCCAGAGACAGGATCCTGATACCTCCGCTGGGCTCCAGTCCCATGTGAGGTCAGGGCCGGGTGGGCTGGCAGGAGACAGCCCTTCCCTTCATCTGCTAAGCAAGGTGGGCAGTGGGACCTGGTGGCTCTCCCCACACTACTGGAATGGGGCATCAGATATCAGTGCAAGTGACCGGGGTGACACCATGAATGAGCAGCGTGGGGCCCAGATCCTGGGTCAGAATCTCCAGCAGCGCTAGGTACTGGGGGTAACGAGCAGGATCCGCAGGAGGTCGAGGAAGGTACAGGAAGGTGAGAGCAGTGGCTGGCCCCTCCTGGCCATCCCCACCCTCAGACCCACCAGGCTTTCCTCCTCTACCGCGCCCCTGCTGGGCCCGGACCAGTGCATTGGCGCTGCATGCCAGGGCCTCTGCCTCAGTGTCTCCCAGCCTGCCATTCACAAAGTCCCCTTCCTCCTCCTCAGGCCCTGTGGTCCCAGCCCCCTCACCCCATAGCACCTCCTGCACCTCAGCCCGGATCCTCAGCTGGCTCAGCAGTGCCCGAAGTCGCCCTTCGGCCGCCCCAGGAGCCTCCTGAGGCCCCAAGCATAAGAAGATCCGGAGCCTGGCACTATGCCAGGCAGGCACCATGCCCAATATGGTTGCCATCTGCAGCAGGAAGAGGCCACAGACATCCACATAGCCAGGCCCACCCCGTGGCCGCAGCAGGTTGAGGGGCCACACATCTACATGATGTGGCTGAGAGGTGCCCCCTGACCCACGGCTTAATCGTTCAGGGGGCAGAGCCCCACAGGCCCGGGCCAGAACCACATTCTTGTTCATCTTGAGAGCATCTGCCACTGTGGCCACGTAGTCCTGAGGGCTGAGAGCCCGGGGGCTCCCAGGAGCCCGTGGTGGGGGAAACAGGGTGCTGAGGGCTGGGGACCCGCCTTCCCGGGTGCCATCTTCAGGCTCTGAGAAAGCTGGGTCTGTCAGGAAGTGGTCCTGAGGGACAGCATCATCGTAGAAACCTAGGACCAATGTGTTGGGCTTCATGCCACCTGGGGGCAGAGAGGAGGAAGCAGGAAGGAACAAACAGGAATCAGACTCACAGACTGAGTTTACGCCGCCATGCTCACACACACCCACATGAGCACGCTGACAGCGACATGTGTCAGCCATCAGGTATGACGTTCCCACTGTGCCTGGGCTCTTAAGACAACATTATGCACATTTACATAATGACTTAGTTTTCCCAAACACTTTCACATGCATTTATTTGATTTGTCTCTATGACTAACTCTTCTACTTAAATAAGGCAAAGCTCGTCTTAGCATTCTTTTAACTAATGAGCACTTCCAGTCCATGGCAATCTTCTAACAGCACCCCTTTTTCATGATGGGAGACAACTCTGACTCTACTGGGTACACCAGACCCTCTGAGTCTAGCTCATAGTCTCAGTCCCTAGGGAAACAGCACCTAGTCCTTGCTGGAGGAGGATGAGAAGTCACAGCTGGGGCTGCACAATCTCTTTCTGATACTGTAAAGTCTGAATGACCTGAGAATGCATGGTCCCCAAGGAGAGACAGCTAACTAACATCCATGTAATAAGTGGTGGGGGAGGTCACCTCCCGTAGAAAGCACTTCATGCTTAACTCATTACATTCCAAAGCAACTATGAGGTAAGGACTGTTTGTTCTCCCCCTTTTACTGATAAGGAACCCCAGTGAGGCACAATGCAATGAAGTCATTTGCCCCAAGGCTCATGGCTGGTAGATATGAGGGCTAATGGGTGATCCCAATTCACCCAGCACCAGAGCCCATTCTCTGAGCCTCTAAGCTGGTGTGGGGGCCAACCACCGCCCCAGGTCCTTTCCCACAGCTCCTGCCTATTTTTTTTTTAAGATTTATTTATTTATGCATACAAGAACTGGGGTACAGGCCAGAACTGGCGGGGGTGAGAGGATTCACCAGTGACAGAGTAGGGGGCAGAACAGGCAGACTGATTGAAATACACTGCTGAGGGGAGCAGCAGGTGAGACAGGAGAGGGCTGCTGCGCCATGTGGGTAGCTACCTGGCAGGCCAGGGATCAAACTCGTGCTGCAGAGGCTGCGGATTGCTTCACAGTGCTGTGCTTAACCTCTTGCGCCACCAGGGAGGCCCGAGTTCCTGCGTGTTAATATTGAGCCACCAATATAGAATCAGGTAACCCCCGCCCACCTTTAACAGGGCTGAGTTTACAAGAAGACCTGAGACCTCTTCTAAGACACTGCCAATAAATCAAGTACTAACTGACAGAAGAATGTACTGTTAAGAAGGAATCCTTCCCCTTTATTTGGGATAATTTCCACAGGTTGAATTCTGTGAAACTAGCACTCCCTTGGCACAGGATTACCCATAAAAGGTGGGCTGAGAAAGCAGAGCCCCTGGCTCTGTGTCAGGATGCCTGACACCAATGACAACAAAATACCTCAGACACCTCTGCAGGTGTGAACTTGAGCTGATCTTGCAAATTAAACTAGTCACACCACCTGCAGAGCAATTTCCAGGGTTCTGATTTACACCAAACAGGGCAATGTTCAACACTGCTGGACTTTAGTCAGGTTCTAAGTGAAGGAAGCACATTCGAGAGGAGAGAGATGCAAGTTCAGGGGTAAAGAAGTGGCTGGGCATGGATTTGGAGGAAGCTGGGGACACAAGGCAGACGCCTCAGCACTAAGACAGTCACAGCTCTGGGAATCTTCTGTTTCATTCGAAAGCATCAAGGCTCCCACTATTCCTCAGCATCCTCTGTGGCCACTGGGGCCACAGTACACCACTCTTACCTCCCACCCCTTCTAAGGCTCAGCTGAGATACCATCTCAACACAGAATCTCTGGTGGCCACATCAGTGCATAGCGGTTTTCCTCCCGCTGAACTCAGAGGGAGGAAACTCAGAGGGATTAGAAACCATCTGTCCTAGGGGCCTCCCTAGCGGTGCAGGGGTTAGAATCTCAGTGTTGTCAAGCTATCCACACTCACTGCAGCACGAGTTCCTTGCCCGGCCAGGGAGCTACCTACATGGCACAGCAGACCTCTCCTGTCTTGCCCACTGCTCCCCTCATCAGTGTATTTCAGTAGATCAGCCTATTCTGCCCCCCATTCTGTCTCTGGTGAATCCTCTCACCCCCCACCCTGTAGCTCTGGCCTGTACCCCAGTTCTGTATGTATAGATAAATAAATCTTTTTAAAAAATACCAAAAAAAGACACTATCTGGGGCCTCCCCGGTGGCGCAGCGGTTGAGCGCTGGGTTGCGAGCTGCCCGCGGCCTCTGCAGCGCCGGTTCGATCCCCGCTGCTCCCGGCCACCGAGGAGGGTCCCGCATGCGCGCAGACCTCTCCTGCCGCCTGCTAGCTCCCCCTCAGCAGTGTCCTTCGTTCTTCCCTGCTCTGCCCCGCTCTGGCTCTGGTGAATCCTCTCACCCTCCCGCGCTTCTGACTGTACCCAGTCTTGTATAATAAAAAAAAAAAAAAAAAAAAAAAAAAAAAAGACACTATCTGTCCTAGGTTTGATGGAATGGAGTAACCCCCCAGTGTCAAAATAATTGTCTCCAGATATGCAACATGCTTTTCTGAGCCTGTGTCCTAACTCTGAATTCAAAAGGAAAAAAAAACAATGTAACCCCATCTCTAGTCCTTAATATGCTCTCCCCTGACACCGTATCATACACTGCAATCTTTGAGCACTGAGTCTTATCTGCACTTGACTGTGAGTTCCTTTTAGAGTCTGAGATATGTGGTTTACTCTCTAGGAGAGGGGAGCATAGGTTGAAAGGGGCCACAGAGAAGGCTGAGGGGATTCAAAAAGGATCAGCTCACCAAGACCTGAGATCCGCAGCAGATGCTGAGCCCCCTGGCGCACGGAGGGCGAGAGGGTGAGGTCCACAAAGGCCTTTACCTGGGCCCGGTCCACCAGACTCAGCCATGCCCCATACTGTGGCTGCACGGGGTCTGAGGGCAGGCAGTCTGTAGAGGAGGTAGGGAAAAAAGGCAGCAAATGTGGGCCAAACTCACACTTTCTTCCAGAACCCAAATCTCAAAGGGACAGAAAGAAGGTCTGGCCAGGGCAGTGGCTGCCTACGAGGGTCACTGGAAAGAAGCATGAGGTCTCTGGGACCCAAAGAACAGAGGTGGCTGAGACTGAGGAAGAGGGAAGCTGGGGGTGAGAGCAGCTCACCAAGGTCTCCGAGAGTGACATGGCCCAGCACATAGAGCCCCCCCTTCTTGAGCTGGTTGGCCAACCGCAGCAGAGGCAGTGCACCCCGGGGGTTCCCCACCAGGAGCAGCAACTGGGGCCTCCAGAACTTCACATGATCCTTCCGGACGTCCAGCCGGAGCAGGTATTTACGCACCTGGAGACAGATGGGAGATGGAGGGGAGGAAGGGGTGGAGTGGGCGGTCCCCATCCAACACCCCTGGAATAGGAACACCTACTCCAGCAGAGGGAAGGGGAAGCTATCTT